TACCCCCCCCCCCCCCCCCAAAGGAAAGCATCGTGGGAAACTCCTCGACATTCCACACCTGCTCGTGAGTGGGATCCGGCGTTTTCTCATGGATGCAGGTAGTGCAAACACCACGACATACACACACAAGAGTCAAGACGTCCTCCGGAAAGCCTAATACATCGTGGCAAGCTACTGCATAGCTTCATCACGTCCTGACCAAATCGTCGTATATTCGAACGAACCCCGGTAAGTTATGGTGGCTTCGTACTCAACGCACGAGACATGAACAAACACCCCCCGTCATGTAGGCGAAAAGAAACGGCCGACTTTCGTACATGCGCATAGCTCGCATCTCTACCTCAGCGCGGTTGTTGACCTCCCGGGCGAGGTTAAGATAGGCGATAAAACGAAGCGTCTTTCGTATCTACGTGGTCCGCAAAATCTCCCATCTCTCACCACGCGATTCTTGATGTTGCGGGCGCGGTTAGCGTAGTGCAGGGCAGCCACCGTCTCGTTGAGCGAGTCCGCCGCCGGGCTAACGCAGGCGATGAAGAGGGTCTGGCTGTTGCCCCCGAGGGCGTCCTACCCCAAATGGACAGCGACAGGAAAACAACACAAAACGCCAACAGGACGGTGCGATGCAACAAGGGGGCACACGGAAGCGTGACAACACCTAGGTATTAGAGAGGTCGGAAATAGAGAAAAAAAAAAAATCGGTGGTGCAGTGTACTTTCGAGCAAAGTTCAAAATAAACATTGTTTGGATCTTTACTTTTTGTTGATTTTAGTACTCCCCCTCCCCCCCTCCGATGGCTTTTCGTCGCTTGGCAACGACGTTGTAAAACACGCCGCCCCCCCCGGTGTTTTGCCATCGGGGTTGGGTTGTCGTCGCTTGGCAACGACGTTGTAAAACAAGCCCCCCCCTCGGTGTTTGCCATCGGGATTGGGTTTTCGTCGCTTGGCAACGACGTTGTAAAACAAGCCAAGTCACTTCGTGAACTCGGCAACCAGGTTACCGTGTTTTTTTTTTCCTCTGTTTTTTTTTTGCGGTAACCATGAATGGTGGTCGAGTAGATCATGTTGTGCGGGGTCGAGAACCCTCACTCCGCGCAAGGGGGATGATCGCACCACGTTGTGTTAAACTGGTCAAGCACCCTCGCGGCAGTTACACAGTGCTTACAACTGTCTCTGGAAGTGATAGCACCAGAAAATAAATTAAGTCATACGCAGCTGTCATTCGTACGCAAGGAAGTAAGCACAAGATGCTGAAGACCCTTAGCAGGGTGCAGCGCACCCTTCATGCGACTCGCCAAATACCTCACGGCGCTTCGCGCTTGGTGATGTGAGAGCCTGGTCCGGTGCGAACCCGGCGTGCTCCGTCCCGGCTTTGTAGGGATGCGAGGTCAATGGTCTAACGACTACGGCATGTACGACTATGAGTACACCCCCCTCCCCCCTGAGGCAAAATGGGGTACCCTTGGAAGGTAAAGGTTTTTCCAACGCACTCTGGAAAGACTGCCAAAACGTACCCTTCGGCTATCTGTCGTTATATCTCGAATGGGCGGCCTTCTTTAATAAGTACATATTTGAAAAAAAAAAAAAGCTGGGTGATTTAGACCATCTGCATGGCTCTGGTGTTCGTAGTACATGTCGACAAACGGAGGGTGGGCTACACAAATTGGCAAATCTAATCAGTTCGATCAAGTAAAGGGCCGGCTATCAGTTTGCGAGTCGACACAGTCCGATTGGTCCCTTCCCTCGCGGCATGCCACCCCTATATCCTGAGATCAGGGGGGCACACGGAAGATATTCTTCCATTTCCGCGGGAACGATGACGTGGTATATCCCACGCCCCCCTCCCCGGACACTAATTCCAAATGAAAATCATGAGGGCGAAAAGACCGTGCGAGTCAGCGATCCTACAACAAGGGATAGGGTACGATAATGATGTCGCAATGCCACCGGTGGTGCTCCCAATCACACGCCGACCCACCTGCAGTAGCCTGGTAAGCTTCGACTGTCGGTACGGCACGTGTGTGGTCTTCTTGTCAGACCGATCGTCTCCCAGGGCGTTCACGACGTTACCCAGAGCAAGAAGACCCTGACAGCGAGAAAAAAATAAAAAGTGTGTGTGTGTGTGAGCGTTGTGTTCGTTAATAGCATCGACCGCGTCAACCAGCTGACCAACTTGAAGACGTCAGTATCAGTGCAGCTGCAATATAATACAAAATGCTTCCAAAGGCCACAATCTGGGACACCGGCACCAAGCGTCATGGGGAAGTCTACGCTACTCTCTGGATTAAAGAAATGTAGTGTGTGTGGGCGTCGTGTTGCAGGAATACCGCCAGCACACGCAAAAAAATGCTGTCCAAGGAGATGCGTATGGTAAGAAGTAAAGCGCAAGAATAGAGTAAAGCGGCGCAAGATCACACAAGAAAACAGAAAAAACAAGGCAACACGCGCACAAACACAGAAATACGGACGACGACGATGCACAAGAAACAGAAAAACAAGAAAAGGCACACAATAAGTTAGAAAACAATAAAAGACAGACACACAAAAACAAGAATACTACAAAGCCAACCTGATTGATCTGGATGCCCTCCCTCTTCCGCTGGCCCTCAGCACCGGTCCTACCTAGCCTCTCGCTACCGGCGAGATCCACGAAGGTAAGCTTCGAGGTAACGGTCTGGTGACGGAAGAGGCAATCACGGACGCGGTAGCATGCATTCTAGCATTATCTGGTTGGAGCTTTTACCTAGGGCGGGGGGTGGGGGGTTGATGGGATAACTCCCGGCGGGATCCACGAAAGTGAAAGCTTAAGCTTAGATTACCGTCTGGTAATGGCAGCAGCAATCACGGACGCGGTCGCATGCGTTTCGCATTTTTTATTCGATTCTGGCGAGGTTCGTCTCTGGTGATGGTGGTCATCGTGGACGCGGTCGCAAGCAAATCGGTATTTATTGGTTCGATTCTAGCAAGGATGGTGGGGAGTTTAAAGGACAGCGTAAGGCGATATACTCGAAAGTGCAGCAACGAGGCTCCCGTGCGGTGATGGCGGCAATCAAGGACGCATGCACATCAAATACTTTCGTATTTGGCGAGGATGGGACGCCCCAAGGGGCGAGGGTGTGGGGGGAGGTGTTGATAGGGATAACACAAAAAAAATACGAGCATGGGGGGTGACGGGACAAAGACAAGAAGACAATGCGGGCGCAGAAGACGATTGGTCGAGAAGAACGGCCTCCTGCCTCGCGAATTGCTCGTCACGGGCGATGAATGACCATGTGCCGGCGCCGTTTTTCCCCTAGTAGAAAACAACGAGAACATCGCGGACAACTAGAGCAACGAAGAGTCACACCAAAAAAACTAAATGATATTCTACGTTGTCGGAAAGCTCTCGACGAGACGGTTCGAACGCCTCAACCTTAACCTTCTTCACCGTCGTACCCGTGGAAGAGATTAATCTGTTGTGTTTTTGTATTGAGAAGTGCAACGAACCAAATCGGTGCAGTACGGGGGGGGTGTTATCTTGCACAACCTACGGTATATGCTGTACCGGCCGTCCTATGATAGGTTCTGCACACGAAGACAGCCGTAAAGCTGCTTCAACGGGTGATTGTTCCTCTTGGGTCGTACATATTTTCAACGACCGGGACCGGAACGGAAACGATATCACCACGACGGAAGCGAAAAAGATGCACGAAAGGGTACCTGAGGTTCTCCCTCGGGATCGGCCTCCTCCTTGAGCGTCTGGGTCAAGGTGATGGTGAACACGGCGTGAGAGCGGCTGCTGACGGTGTTCATGAGGGTGGAGGCGGTGGTCCTGTTGAGCACGCCCTGGCTCAGGACGTCGAGGGCGGCCTCCCAGCCCAGCACCGGCACCTGGCTGAGCCCGTTCACAAACACGCCCGTCTTGTCTTCCAGGACCTGATGTTTCGCCAAGCAGTTGTTTTCGTTGTTGGTGTTGGGGTAATTTTTGCTGCTGCTGCTGGTCGTTGGTTGTGGAATATGTGATACTTGCACACGCGTTGCTAGGCTTCTACCATTTGTTGTGCTTGGTACTGGCTAGGTAGCCGTTCACGACGCCAGGTGGGTCTGGGTATCCACCGAATACTTAACTGTTCCCACCCTCTGGGTTGAACTGCAAGCACCACCAACATAATCGCACCACGGCAAAAGTGATCCAGATAGCAGAAAGGCCAGCAACACACACAGGTGAAGACAATAGCTACAGTACTTCCACTTCTATAGACACAACAAATACCAACACCACTGCTATAGAGAAACAGCTACACTGCTGTGGCAACGGCAGGACCAGCAACGATCACAGAAAAAAAAACAGTGACGCACACATAACACCACCGCAGACGATAGGATCACAACCCCTCCCCGCCAACACTTGCCGGAAGAGAAGCGCGCTTGGTGCCGGGGGCATGGCCGTCGCTAAGCAGGTCGTACACGTCCTCTCCGTATATCTCCAGAAAGCTTGCCGTCGTCGTAGCCTCCAGCCGGTGAGCGACATCCGCGTTCAGGTTCATGAACATGTCGTACAGGAACCTTACAAGTACGCGAGCGTTCGTCGGGAGGCGAGAGCAAAGCACATCCAGTTTAACACAAGTAATACACCATCAGCGACATCCGCGTTGAGTGAACATGTCGTACAGGAACCTTACGAAAACCGTGAGCACGCGGCGGGCGGCGAGAGCGGCAAAGGCAAATCCAGCTTCACACAAATAACACACATCAGCGATATCCGCGTTGAGTGAATCGTACAAGAACTTTAAATAAACCGTGGGCAACATAACACATTCCATTTTACACGACTCGCACACATCAACAACTGGAAATCGTGTACCGATACAAAGCACCCCCACGGTTATGAGACTGGCGGCTAAGAAGATGATATAGCCTCCAAAAATTGAACGTCTGGAACTTAGCACAATTTGTTAGCTAGGATAAGAACGCTCAAACCTATATCGGGGCCATTCTTAGCATAAACCAAGGGGACTATAAATCCCACCCGGGAGGAACGATAGTAGAGGTTCACAACTGCGGGCGCTGACGGTATGCACAGCTTGAGTGCTTGGCAAGAAGCTTGAGGAGGCGTGCATGAGCGAAAGGCATCAATATCTCCAGCCCGCAGCTTAGGGCATGACACGGAGTTACGGCTGTACGGTAGTCGCACCCGCTTCCAGGACACCCCCCTCTCGAACTTTCTTCGCAAACAAAAGCGTCCTGCCATGGGGGAAAGGTCCTAGAAACAAAACTACACCTCCCCCCCGCTGCTGTTTTTACACCCTGCGGGGCACCGCCACATGCTCATGAAAAAAGATGGTGTCCTTTCAATCCGGGGAGGGTCCACCATACCGTAGGTGACGCAATATATCACACCCCCTGGACCGATTTTCAAAGCTCGAATATTCCATAGAGTAGGAAGAAAGAGTGGAGGTGCTGAAAGCGGCGTCGTTGGAGCCATCTTGTCGAGATATTTCCGAAAACATACTTCATGAAGTTTGCATCATCTTCGTCGTGGAGTAGTCGACCTTCTACAGATCGGTCTAGGGGGTGTGATATCTTGTGTCACCTATGGTAACTTTGGTATCCTTAAACACGGGGACGACTGCTTTGACTGCTTTTTATCAGGGAACATACGTCAAAACACAGATAGACTACCCGTTCGGGATATAACCACAGTCGAAGAGGATGTGTTGAAGTCTTAGCAGCGAGTGGAGGGAAACTGGCTGGGTACTGGGCTTATGAAGGGTATATTATTGCCTATATGCTTGTACACTGAATTCTTATCAGTGATGCCAGCAGGTACTAATCACAATCGCTCTTCAGGGTATTCTATTATTATGACAACTGTATACTTTTGAATTGTTACCAGTGATGCCAACAGGTGCTAACCACAAAAGCTATTTGGGGTATATTTATGCCTATGCATACACTGAATTTTTATCGGTGATGCCAGCAGGTGTTATCAATCACAAAGGCTTTGATATATTTTCAAGTAGGCGTCGAGCGCGCACCTGGGGATGAGGCCTCGCCGTTCGTCGTCGTACTTGTCGGTGGTGCCGCACTCCGAACCCATCGTGTACGTCTTCCCTGACCCCGTCTGCCCGTACGCTAGGATGGTGACGTTGTAGCCCTGCAGGAGGTTTGCAAGGCCGTACACGTGATGTTCACGCACAACAGAAAAAGACGGACGAGCAGCAGCAGCAGCAGCAGCAGCACGCGTTGGCGTGCGTGACAATATACATGCAGAGGGCGGCGTGTTGCTGTTGTTGTTGTTGTCTTCACGTTGAAACCCATTCCGGTCTCCGCTCAGTGCCTTCCAATATCCGTACTGGTCCACCTGACGTGTGCGTGTCCTTGTGGGAGACAAAGCCTGGCCAACCCAGCAGTCGTGTACAGCTTTGCTTAAAGTAGAACAACCATTCGGATACGAACGTGGATACCCCAAAGAGCACACATTATTGCTGACCGAAAAGAAAGTCGCGGAGAGGAGCAGTCATGTCATGTCGTGCCTTTGTGGCCCCGCCCTGGGACCGACGTACCTAAACCAACGTCGGCGACTTGCTTGCGGTAACCAATTCAACAGTCTTTGGGCTGTACCGTACCGTAAGGTTGTGAGTCAGCGCACAGGGGTGCGAACGATTTTCAAAGCGAAATTTCTCCACAACCAGGAGGTTACCACTGTCGAAGAGAGCGGTCTTGTAAATCTCATCGAGAGCTTTCCTGAGAAGTATCAGTTGGTGCTCGCACCCTCCTGGTTGCGGAGAAATTACGCTTTGAAAATCGATCGCACCCCTGTGCGCTGACTCGCAACCTTACGGTAGTTGGAGGAACATACACGACCAAAGCCACTAGCAGGCTTCCAGCCCTCAGGCTACACCACGGCGCTACTGTAGGCTTAACAAGGCCTATCCCACCCCTAACCCACACCTCAAGCTTGGTCTGCAGTGGGTAGGTCTAAGTCACTGCTGTGCCGAGCTACTAGAGCGCGCTTCGCGCGCGCTAACGTTGACGTGTATACGCCGCGCGGCGGGCGGTTGGGGCATGCACCTCTGAGTGATCATACTCCGCTGCTCCGCAGGAGAAACGTATCGCTGATCGGGCAGTACAACCACAGCTGTACTGGTAGCCTACGTTCCACACAAATAAACCCGGGGTACATTGTGCATGCCGGTTTTTCGAGGAGCGGAGACGGAAAGCTTAAGCTTTGGGGTTCCCCCAAGGTCACGCATGGCCTCTTCCGAAGGGCTAGTGTAGCTAGTGTGTGTTCAGGGAGTCCCACAAAAAAAAAAAAAAGGTGCGACCTACACGCCAATCGGTGGGGGTGCCGTCACGTCAACTGGGCGTGGAACATCCCTGTGCGGCTTGGCTGCCAGCAGTCTACATATATGTACAACAGCAGTCAGTATACCCACGTGCCAACGCGTTGTCTCGCGACACTACAGGTTTCCCGCCCTTCGATTTCGGTGTGCGGAAATTGGAGCACTGCGTGCGTGGACAGGTCAACGGTTGAGGTTTCATAATCACAACGTTCTTCATCAAAAATACTTCAAGCACAGCGGGTCACTATGGATACGGATATAAGTTTAGTCACAAAAAAAAAAAATGACAATTTCCTCTCCCACCCTATTAGTGCTGTTGCGGTACATACGGTATCTATGTGCAGCATGACCGGTGAGATGCGGAATTTTTCAACGGATCTATAGGCGAATGCAAGGTAAACTTTGGTGTGGTGTGCCTTGACCTACCATCACAAGGGAATGGTGTTTGGAGGGTAGAGCCGTCTCTGCTATGTAGCAAGAGTTCACCGCAACAGCAGTAGCGAGGTCTTGACGCAGCAACAGCGAGTGGATGCCATACGCCCAAATGAAAGCTGTGTGTGTGCAGTGTGCAGCGATGCTGTACTGCTGTACTCTTGTAAAACGGCAAATGCGGCAAAACTCGCAAGCTAACCTCGGACTCTCCTTCCGAGCAAAACATGAGATGTACGTACTCTTCGTACGCAGCGCCACCAGAGAGAGAAGCAGCAGGAATAGCCACTATTCAGACGAAGCGCTAAACCCAAACGCAAGCGTCAAACACATCTTGCTCGGGAAATCCAACGATGCTCGGTCCAACTCCGCCGGTTTGCAACGCCAGCTCGTTTGGCAGGGAGAGCTTCGTGCATCATACACTGCCGCATGTATGCGTAGGTCATCCATCACACACAGCAGCAAGGCAGAGAAGTGGCCGACGAAAGGTGCTGCATGTACCACACATGAAAGCGAACAAGAACCAGCCTGAAGCATCAAGAGTACGTAGATAGAATACTGCTGTATTGGATAACGCTACGCAGGGCGGGGCGAAGAGGGGGGTGACAGCAGCCCTACCTGTCTGTTCGCAAGCAAGCTGGTACTGACATCATGGAAGAACTTCACAGGCTGTCTCTCTCTTTTCGTACAAAGAACAACAGAGGACACTCACGTCAAGGAACGGCTGCAGCATCTGCGCCGCCGTGCTCGCGTACAGGTCCCTCTGGCTGGCGTGCACCGGGAACACGTGGTCGTAGGTGAAGCGGTGCGGAGCCGCGTTGCCGTTGCCGTTGTCGATCAGCACCTGCTTCTCCGAAGGGTGGGAGATGACCTGAGGGGCATCTTTCTCCACCTCCCGCGGCAGCAGGGGCCTCACCCTGACGCCGACTCGGACCTTAGCGGCCTCCGCCATAGCTCCTGATGTGTTTCTTTGTTCGCTCTCTCGCTCGCTCCTAGTTCCACAGTACAGCTCCTCCCCCTCGCTGCCGCCCTGGGCACACTGCGAAAAATAGTCAACCGTCGCCTCCTCGTAAGGGGGCTCCGCAGAGAATTACACAGGGGAAGGAACGATTGGGAGCTTTACGGAAACAAACCCGTTTTTTGCGGTTTCACTCGATTTTTCGACGATGTTCCGTCAAATGTTGGTGCGTTGGCAGTTGGTGCCGCGGTTGTTTTGTTGTTTGTGTTCGCATTTCGCATGCATTAGCGGTTCAATACATGTTCACCCATACCACTCTTCTGCAAAGCAAAGAACAAATCCGTGAACATGTCCCTTCCTTCCTTGTCCACAAGCATGAAGAAATTACCGACCGAGCTGTAGACCGGCAGAAAACAAACGCGAGTAGACATGGCCGCTGCGAACGGCGGCCGTAACAAATATTCCGATCAAGTTTAGAACTAAGTAGAGCCTCTGATTCGAAACACGTCCAAGCTGAGCTCTCTACGCTGCTGTCTGTCTACGCAATAAGAAGAAGAGTGAAAATACAACCGAAGGCATACTACATACACTCCTCGCCTCATCATGCACACGTCAGAGGAGGAGAGTGTCCGTCGTCGCCCTTGTTCCTTAGTCTAGACTACGCCTTAGTCTATACACAGAACGATCCCATCCGACACCCTGGGCGGCGGTGTGAGAAGAGGTACCAGACAAGACGTTCTGAGCCGACCCATACCGATAATAAAAACAAGTTAGAGTTGACCGTGCACATACACACAGCAAACGATTGTGCCATTCTATTGTAATACTTACCGTATACTACCGGTTTTCGGTTGGATCTGTAACTCGCCTTGATTGGCAACATCTGGACGTTGAGTCCCTCGATCTTAGGCTGTCGTGAAACGAGCCCGACTGTAAAATGTCGGGAAATATGCAAGGGTTATACTATGCGCCCCTTTCGACTACATACAGTAGTTGGTGTGGGGTGGCGCGGCGGACGAGAGACGAAGTAGCGACAATCCATCAATACAAAAGGTGACCGTATTTACGATGCGGTGCTGTCTACATATATATATATATGTTGCCGGGTAGTAAGGCTGGAACGGGATAGTGGGATATATATGCTCCATATACGTTTCTACTACCTCCACCACCCTCGAAACAGACAGTGCCTGCCATCGTTCTTGGAAGAACAGAACAAGAACGTGTGATCCAATCGGTTCGTTACAGGACGACCTTGGTGGTCGTGGCCGTTGTTGCGGGTGCCCTATCGGGAGAACAGCTTTGGTTATGTGCATACTATAAGTACGTCAAAGAGTGACAGTGCAGGGCTGGCCCCCATCTATCTGCACATGCATTTGATGGGGAGAGCGGGCCACTAAGAGCGCGCGGGGGGCCACTCTGACGCCCAGAAAGCTGGACACCGAGGGAAAATTTTAGGTCGAGGTGGAGGAAGACTCGGGTACGCTTATCAAGAAGATGCCGTCTGACGACATGTTCCACGAAAAACAGTATCTCATGCACTGCGCGGTGCATACCCTCAACAACCTTTTTCAGGAGTCGTGGGCTACGGCTTCTCTGATGGAAGATATCGCCAAAGAGCTGTGAGGACGTAAATATATTTAGTTTGGTACGCAACCACTAGGACTATCTGTGGCAGGACGTTCTCCAACATTGAAGGCAGCAGTATCGAAGTGCTTGTCACACCAATCCAAGTATATCTACAGTGACCTGCGCGTAGCCAAATCTACTATCGCACACGATTAGATTCCTGTGTTTCGAAATAAACACCACTGTGGCACCCCCCCTCTTTGACCGACTGCCGTGGCTCGATTGCTCCGCAACCAGAGGGCTTGGCAAGCGGCCGACAGGTCTAAAGAAAAAGAAACCTCTTGAGCAAGGTTTTCCGAAACCACTTTTCTTCTTCGCAGTGAGTGGTGATACAATCGAGGTCTGCATGACAATAAATCGCTCTGACCTCTGCGCACGATACCTCCTCTCCTTGCGTATTCTTCCCGGCAATAAGGTTTTCCCGCAGGCACGAGCAAAGTTTCAACAAGGTCGCGAACGAAACAACAAAAAACATAAGGTCGTGAACGAAAGAGCACAGAAGCTTACAACACCCATCCGCGAACTCGAAAAGAAGGCAAGAAAATGTCGACCGGCAAAGAAAGGCAGATACTCACGGAACGCGGGATGACTCCGCCGTTAAGTAATGTGTGCTCCACGCCAGGTCATCTTGAAATTCACCCCCTTGTCTATCGGCGTCTGACGAAAACAACGACTACTCGGCACAAATCCGGCACGAACAAGGACGTCCTCGGGGCAGACAACGAATCAACACTTACTTACTTATAGTCTACGCCTTCCTTTGGCGGTACGTTGGAAAACAAACGTCGTCTGGACTTGTCGCCTACTCGCCGTTGGGTCAACTTACAAACCTAGTCGTTCTCCGTGACACCTTGATCTGAGAGAGGGCGAACCAACAAAAGGAAGACCAATACGGCATCGCCACCGACGTCAAAAAGCGACAGGGTTCCAGCCCACAGTAAAACTATACTACATATGTGTTTCAGGTTCGATCGCGAGGCCAGCATTAGGAAAGAATCCGGCATGGGGCGCATGTGGGTCAACCCCTACAAGTCGGTCGTGCCGCAGGTCGGCTACTACGACATCAACTGCCTCCTGGAGGCGCTCAAGCTGAAGAAGTGCCACATCAGCCTGCACGCCGTCTTCAACCCCAAGGTACCCCGCACTGCTTGCCTAGCTAATAGTACAGTTGAGGGCCCTCATCAACGCCGGTATGTGCACGGCGCATCGACCAGCGCTATATTCAGAGGGGCCGGCGCTATTCAATGTACAGAAATGACTTGGTGATTCCGTCTGTGCCCAGCAGTTTCACCGGCGCTATATAGGGCCACCGGTGCTAATCAACCGGCGGTATTGACGCCCCCCCCACTGCTATACTTTTTTGTGGGTTTTGGGTGTTTCGCAGTAGTCTACGCAGGTTTGTCTTTAAAGTAAGCAAACACTGGATATAGTGTTGTATAGGATCGGCTAATCCCCCTGCCTGGTCTTTTTCGTACTATTCTTACTTTCTTTGCGAGGGTAGTCCGATCCTGGGAATTACGTGTGCGCGGGGTTATCCTGTTGGGGGTCCCAAGTGCTGCCCCGCCCGAGAGAGAAAGAAAGAGAGACAGACAGAGCACGCACGTGTGTTCATCGTGGTGTATTGGCAGGAGTAATCAAGCAAGGGTTTACCCTCGGTCCTGGGCTAACAAAGTTCCCACGTTTGACCCTAAACGCTGTGGGAGGCGCGGAGGAGTCTAACACGTACCTCTCGCGTTCATCTCGCCTCCCTCTGTGAACGCTTGCGACAACAACTAACCAGGAACCGAACGCCGTGGCGAAGTCCCTGGAGCATCTCGACCCTTCCCTCGGGGGGGTTCGTGGGATCGTAGTCAACCGCGTGAGCAAATCTTTGCTCGGAGGGCTGTATACCACACACCACTTCTACGCCATCATCCCCTACAAAGGCGAGTTGGTCTGTCTAGAACGAGCGGTGATGTGTACCAGTTAGCATTTGTACTGTATTGTGCACCTGACGTTGTCCCTCTTAAGCTAGCCGACGCGCCCCTTCGCCCTGCTCGTGGGTGGGAGAAAACGACTGTGTCTAGTAATCTCTGGAACGGGTAGTCTTTCTGTAACCATATACTACATTTCTCAAGAAAAACGCCAAGAAAAAAGGGTAGAGTTGCGGCAGTGGGTGGGCCTACACGGGCTTGCCGTGCTACGTAAACAGTTAGTGAGCGTGAGGTAGAAACTACTGTAGGACTGACAAAGAACGTGCCACCACCCCAGCAATTGGTAATACAAAAAGTTGAGGGTTGTCGCGAAAGGCAAGAATTTGAGAACTCCAACCAAACCTACACCAAACTTAATATTCCCTGTTCGGGTCTCCCCCCTGATCAAACAACGAGCAGTCTAAGGGTAGGGGAAAGTATGAGATTTCTGAAAGTGGGGGCGTGTTTGTAACGGCGGCGACCCGGAAGAGGGATAACTACGACGAGAAGCAGCGGATGAGCTCATCGGCTGCTCTCATCGCATTCACCCCTCTCATCGGCTGCTCTCATCGTATTCACCCCTCTCATCGGCTGCTCTCATCGTATTCACCCCTCGCCGGGGGTCGCCGCCGATATAAGTCTCTACGAGATCATCGCACAGGCTTGCGCCGACAATAATAGTTCGGAATCGTACATACAGGCTTTTTTTGTGGGTAGAGAACACGACCTGTTCGTATATGTGGAAAACATTAGCAACACTACACACAACGAGAAATGATGTCCTGTTGGCGTGCTGGAGAACATGCTGCGATTAATTGTAATGAACAATGATGCCCTTTGCAAATTGCTGCCCGATTCGTCGGTCAGGCATCCGTGGGAATGGCATGGCCTGGTACGTCGTGGACTCGAAGGCCGACGCTCCCGAGATTATCGGGAGCGCCGCGGAGCTGGCGCTTCACCTGGGGATGGAGGCTCGCGAGCATCAGGGCCACGTGTTCGTCGTCTCTGACGGGGAGTGCGAAGTGATGGCCGGCGACGGCAGCAGCGGCGGCGGCGGCGGCGGCGGCGACAGCGGCAAACAGGAGGAGAAGACCTCGGGGGGGTAGCGAGATGGTTTCTTCGTAAAAGTTTTTGGTGCCATGCTTTCGTGTGTCTGTGGTGTTTAAACTCGCAATTCGTTTCGGATCTCTCCAATATGTTGTAGCTCCATTCCGCTGTGGGGGGAGTCTGGCAGTCAATGCAAAACCGTGGCGTGGGAATAATAGTTCAACCTAACCGTGTTTGATGAATATTGATGTCAATGAGCATAGAGAGAGGTGGGGGCCTCGACTGGTGGGTGAACCACCGCTTGCCTTATCGAGTAGGTCAGGTTGTTCGTCCTTGTGCGCTTGGAGTTGTCCTTCGATGACACACCCTTTCTTTGTTGTTTCATCGCTGTTTTGGGGGATTTTCTCCATTGTTATTGGGCTTGGTTTAGTGTTAAGCTTTGTGTTCGGGTCGTTTCAGCGTCCGGTTCCAAACCGATCCACAGCATGCCGATGGATACTTCGTTGTTCGTGTGTTAGACTAAGTGTCGACTGTGTGTGCTAAACACCTCGCGGTACGAGTGTTTTTTCTCCTCCGTGTACAGTAGTCCCTTTGTACTTTTCTCCCCTCCCCTGGTTTGCTCATGTACGTATGTATGCATATAATATGTGTTTCGTCGTTCGCTGTGTGAAGTTTGAAGTCTCGTTTAGGGCGGTTTCGCCGTTAGCTTTCTTGTTGCATCGCGGCTTCGACCGACGAGATAGGTTTTTCCCCACATCTGTCGAGTTTTCTACCTGGTACTGGTTATTTTTTGCGATTTCGGAAAGCCCCAAAAATATTAGTCCAGAAGGTTAGAACATCTTTCTGGTGTGTCGTGCAAAAAGAGAGGAATTGAAGCTCTCTCGTTGGCATCCGCCTGGCCTGCGTGGATGGCAGCTTCGAGACGACGACTTACTACTTGTCGATGGATTGGAGGCGACGCAGTAGTAGGAACAAGTAGACATTATAACGTGGAATCAACAACATGTCCGCACGATGGCGACGGTCCTGGCACTACGGGTCTGTTGGTTACTCATCGCCTCGCGAAGCTGCCATTCGTGTCCCAAAAGCTGACCCTTGGTTCTTAGAAGCGTGTTAATCACGACAGGGAGCCGGCAGCACGTATCAAAGAGCTTCAAGTGTGAGAGAGAGCGTTCGGCAAGAAAGGGGGGAACAATGTCGCCCTACGACACTAGCGAAAAAAAAACACACGACCTCGTGATTCCTCGGGCGTTTTCACAAAGGACGCGTGCGCATCGCGGCACACCCCGACGGACCGCAGACAGAGTTCATGCCCTTGGTTTCTTGACAAACCTTTCACAAACAAGAAACAGGGCCGAAAATAAACAGTAACAAAAAGAGACAGGACGGAAAATGACAATAATTGCTTTGTTTGGCCTGTGTCATGCGACTGATTGTGGTATGGTCTCGAACGGGTAAAAAGTCATTTTTTTGTGGTTTGATGTAATCTTCGAAGAGTTTTCTAAAAACCCAGTGCACTCTTCCTTTGCTTATCTCGCAACTTGAAGGCAGGCACCGCAGGAGAAACAAAACAGGGTTAACCTGAACCTTCCTACTGCTCCAGTCGACGCGCCAAATGTATCTGTAGCGAACGGGCAAGCCTATCCACACGATAGACGGGACCAAAGCACACACACACCGTATTTTCCAACTCGCATGCAATTTCAAAACAAAAGACGTCGACTCACCCGCTATTTCCCTCTCATCCTCCTTCGAGACAACCTAACCTTGGTCCAATGGTTGGGCGATGCAACGTTTAATGAAACAAGAGGTTAGGCTGAAAACACGGCCGGCGCAACAAGCTTAGCGTGACCCTGCCTTCTGACGAACACGAAAAAAACCATGTGAGAACCGGCTTCTTCTCCGAAAAAAACAAGAGTACTTCCATGGGGGGCGACCAAACCCACACGGCCGGCAAAGAAAACGAGTGCAGCATACCAGAGAAGCAACAACAAAAACACCCACAACCAACCGACCATCGGAACCCACGTTCTCTCCGTGCGTGTCTGAAGTCTAAATAAACACCGCTGCTGCTGTCGTGGGATAAGGCATGGGCTGCTGTCCCCCCCGGCGGCTTTCCGCTATCTCTCCCACACCTTCGCTATGTGCCCGCGTGGCTAAGGTAAAGGTTGTGTGGCCTTGCCCCTCTCCCACAGCCATCCAACGGTCCTCTCTCCCCCCCGCCTCTCTCCAGGCTCGACCCAAGAGGCAACAGAGAAAGCCCAACCTAAGCGGGCGATCCCTAACCCCAAAGCACGGATTGAATACTTCATCCCATATGTTTGCTTAATCAAATGTGCTGCGTAGACTACTGAGGCGGGGAGTCCTTTCTGTCTTGTCCCTCTCTCTCTCCATCGACATGCAAAACGCACACACCTCACTACCACGACGCACCGGCGACAACAACAAAACAACAACAAGATGTAACCAAGCAAGGGTTTCTTCCCCCGACAATTAAAAAAAAAAGTCGAGCGCACTTCCGCTCGGGCGTGTGCACCCCCCCCCCGCCCGCCCGCCTGTCTACCAAGGGTCCGGGTCAAAAACGGGAAGGCCGCTAAACCCCCGGGCCGGCGGCCCTTGGCTCCACTTGGCGCTCTGCGATTGTTTCCTGGAGCATTAGTTGAGAATGCGAGTGTGTCCAGTAGTTGAGAGTGGTGAAGACCACAACGTGAAGCAGGACCACGTAGAAAAACACGAAGTTCCTGTGCGGGAAGGGGGCGACGCGGGATCGGGGGGGGGGGGGGGGGGGGGGGGGGCAATGTAATTTGAAATGGGGCCCCCCGCCACCCCCCGGTGGGCTTTGTGAAACCCATGGGTTTTAAAAAAAACCCCCCCGGGAAC